GGCCACTGCTGCAGGCTTTTTTTTTTTTTTTTTTTTTGAGACAGAGTCTTGCTCTGTTGCCCAAGCTGGAGTGCAGGGGCTTAATCTCGGCTCACCGCAACCTCTGCCTCCTGGGTTCAAGAGATTCTCCTGCCTCAGCTTCCCAAGTAGCTGGAATTACAGGTGCCTGCCATCATGCCTGGCTAATTTTTTTATTTTAGTAGAGACTAAATAGTTCCACCATGTTGGCCAGGCTGATCTCAAACACTTGACTCAGGTGATCCACCCACCTTGGCCTCCCAAAGTGCTGGGATTACAGGCATGAGCCATCGCGCCCGGCCTGCTGCAGGCTCTTAAGTACCCCATCCCTGCTGCTCTGGCCACTGTCCCCCTCCCCCAGGCCTCTTCCCTTCAGTCAGCAACTATAGGGTTAACGTCTGGTGCAGCTGGTGAGCACACACATGCATGCACACACACTGCTCTGGCCCAGGGGCACGCTGTCCCAGTTGTTTATAATTTCAACTTCTAGTTTAGATTCAGGGGTACCTGTGCAGGTTTGTTACACGAATGTACTGCATGACGCTGAGGTTTGGAGGACGTATGATCCTGTCACTCAGGTAGTGAACATGGTACCCAATAGTTAGTTTTTCCACCCATGCCCTCCTCCCGCCCTCCCCCACCCATAGTTCCCAGTGTCTCCTGTTCCCATCTTTATGTCCCTGTCTCAGTCGCTGAACGTTGTGACTCTCGCCCCTACCTGTAAGCTCCAGCATGATCCCAGCTCCACCTCGCCTGGCCTCTCGTGCTGTCTGCACTGCGCCCACTCTGGCCTTCCTTCAACCCTCTGCTCCTTTCCCTGCCTCTGGGGCTTTGCACAGGCTGCTCTCTAAGACCAGCATATTCTCCCTCGCTTCACCTCATTCGCCCCTGCTCCTCCCTTAGCTCAGCTGTTTCTTCCTCATGGTAGCCTTCTCTGACCTCTGACTCTAAGGAAGTCCTCTCATATACTCTCTGCCTTCCATTCATGGTTCCTAACATAGTTTTTGGTATGCATATCTGTTTGTGTCATTATTTGATTAATAGCTGTCACTGCCAATAGACTACAGTTCAGAGTGGATAAGGACCATGATCTTAAAATGAAATTATTCTATTCCTTCAGCCCAGCTCTCCATATACATGTGGAGATGCATAGGAAGTACATTGGACACAGCCATCTAAAGTGCAAACAATAAATTTTAAAATTGGCATTCATATAAGGGGGCTCATGTATGCATGCATGTGTGTGTTCTTACATATAAATTTCTTCTTTCCTGTAGACATGGTAATGATAATGATGATAGAACATTAGTAGGCACAGTCTATGCAACAAGGAACTGCCCTGAATATTCAGACGTCTCTTATATAAGCCAAGAGTTCCTCTTTCTACACTACTTAATTACTTCCTATTATGGCAAACAGTATGCATTCTTTCCACAAAAACATACTATTTGAAAGTGTGTTACTTATGTAAGGATAAGTATTTGCCCTGTTACCACCACCACAGTCCATCAGCTCAGAAGATTCAAGCTGAAAGCAAATTATCTTGCCATGACCCCGGGACAACAGCTTGCTTTTATGCGTGTTTTAAAGAGCAGAAAGCTCTAGTAGCATTAAGAGGCTGGCCCTGTGCACATTAAGCAGATGCAGGATCGTCCCGCTGGGTGCACTCGTGGGTTTCATGCAGGCATGGGTTCAGTCACTGGAGTCCTTCCCCCACTATCAGGACTCTCCCGCCAACAGCAAAACCAAACTGCCCTGTGCAACCAGAATGAGGTTCAGAGAACCCTGATCAGCTCCTTTCCAGGCGCAGTCACCTGCAGCTACCTGTCCTGCTCAGCAATAGACCATAAGACAGGGACCAACAGGGCCACATCTGGCAGCTGTGGGAATTAACCAGCAGCAAGGGGCTTTGCACTCGATGCATCCTGTCTTTCGTTCCCTTCTGACACTCATTGCCTAACTTGCAGCAGTATCCTCTTTGAAAGAGAGGCCAGGCTTAGCCAGGACTGCAGTCTTGAGTCTGAGGCAGGAGCCTCCCCTCAACCTCGAGCAGGGCTGACAGCCACTTGTCACTGGCGCTGAGCCAATCGGAAATGGTGTCAATAAAGTGCAAATAATGCCTCAGTGCTTGCTGCTCTCTGAGCCCAAAATGAACCGAAGAGGTGCTCTGAGGAGAGAAGGCAGAGTGACAAGGCAGTTACACCAAGGCCTCTCCAACGGGAGACCAATCAGGACATAGCTATTCCCCGGGTGGCATCAAAATCTTCCAATTTCACACAGAAAATGAGTCCTGGCTCAAGTCTCACACACGTTCAGTTGTCCCCATTTTAGCTGAATGGATTCCTTTGACAGCTAAAATCTTAACCCTTGGAAGGCCTCTGAAGGTGTGATTCACCTCCACTGAGAACTGCACTGCAGAGAAACACATCTGCAATTCTCCAGTCATAGCAAGAACAAAGAAAGCCTCCAGGTGTGCATCTCTGCAAGACCAAGAACACATCCCAGGTGGAGAGAGTAAGCAATCCCCCTGCCTATGGGGGGCTGGGGCAACACAGCTGGAGCCTGTGCAGGTGCTTCTGGAGGTGTGGTGCTAAGAAGGTCCCAGACCCTGTCTCCTGAACAACTCTCACACCAGGACCCTCACCCTGCCCCCACACTTTGCTGCATCCACCTCTTGGCGTCAAAAAATGGGCTCAGACTTTCAACCTGCTATGCAAAGGTCAGCCTGAGCGGATGCTTGGTTACAACCACAACAATGTCCTTTGGGCTGTGGATATGTGGATGTTGGCATTTCTGGGTGGAGGGATGAGAAACGGGGCGGAAGGCCTGGTCCCTCATCCAGTTTGCAAATTCCAGTCAGGTCCACATACCTCACTTTCCCTCTAAAGTGCACTGCCAGAGGCTTTGCTTCCTATCACACACCTACTTCTGTTTCCTATCACACACCACACTGCTCCATTCTCTCTGATCTTTTAACTGTGAATTTCTGCCACTGCAAGACCATCTTAATCCAAATGGGGTCTCAGTCCTAGGAGTAGGGGCAGGTAGTACTTTGCATTTTATTTATTTATTTATTTACTTACTTATTTATTATTTATTATTATTATTTTTTTTGAGACAGAGTTTCACTCTGTTGCCTAGGCTGGAATGCAGTGGTGCGATCTCAGCTCACTGCAATCTCCACCTCCTGGGTTCTAGCAATTCTTCTGCCTCAGCCTCCCAAGTAGCTGGGACTATAGGCGTGCACCACCATGCCCGGCTAATTTTAGTATTTTTAGTAGAGACAGGGCTTCACCATATTGGCCAGGCTAGTCTTGAACTCTTGACCTTGTGATCTGCCCACCTCGGCCTCCCTAAGTGCTGGGATTACAGGTGTGAGCCACCACGCCCAGTCTATTTTATTTTATTTTTGAGATGGAGTCTCGCTCTGTCACCCAGGCTGGAGTACAATGGCATGATCTGGGCTCACTGCAACCTCTGCCTCCTGGGTTCAAGCAATTCTCCTGTCTCAGCCTCCCAAGCAGCTGGGATTACAGGCACGCACCACCACACCCAGCTAATTTTTGTATTTTTAATAGAGACGGGGTTTCTCCACGTTGGCCAGGCTGGTCTCAAACTCCTGACCTCAGGTGATCTGCCCGCCTCAGCCTCCCAGAGTGCTGGGATTACAGGTGTGAGCCACTGCACCAGACGGTATTTTGCATTTTAAACAGGGGCAGGAAGGGTAGGGAAACTGTAGACGAGGAGGGTAGGACAGAGGCACGTGGCCCATGGAAAAGTTAACCTACATTCAGAAAATCTGGCCCTGCTAGCTTGGAAAAGTCATACAAGCCACTAAAGTACAGAGGAACCATGAAGACATTATGCTAAATAAAAGAAGTCAGTCACAAAAGTACAAATATAGCAGGATTCTGCTTCTGTGAGGTCCCTATAATAATTCGTAGAGATTGGAAGTTGAAGGGTGGTCACCAGGGGCTGGGGAGGAGTCGGAAATGAAGCGTAAGTGTTTAAAGAGTACAGAGTTTCAGTTTTGCAACATGAAAAGAGTTCTGGAGACGGATGATGGTTACAGGATAATATGAATGGACTTAACCCCATTGAACCGTATGCCGAAACATGGTTAAGACAGGAAATTCTATGCTGTATATTTTACCACAATTAAGAACACATTTTTAATGGCTAAGATGGTTTTAAAAAGGTCGCAATGGATAAGTGTATTCTAAATTAGAAACAATTAGCATGTGTAACTAAACAACTTAATTGGCAGGCAAGTATCTACAAACAAACAAAACCTGTCACCAATCCACAAGCCCAAACCGCACACCTGTTCCCTTCCTGGAGGGTCATTTCCTCTCTATTCAGTCAGTTCCTGGATCTTTGGCTCCAAGCCTGAGTCTCTGCCCTCCAACCCAACCCGAACACATTTTGTTTCCTAGCCAGCCCCTCCTGAAGCTAAGGCTCAGCTGTGTCACTCAGGAGCCCTGGAGTGCCAGCCTCTGTGCCAGCCCCGCCACCCTCAATCCAAGCCCACCTGCCTTTGTCAGCACCTGACCAAAGCGGGGCCTCATTCCCCGACTTTCTTCTCAGGCTAGCCGAGAACCCACACAGACTGCCGGTGGACAAAGGAGACTGAATGTCCCTACTGACACAGTATCTTTCAAAGGCTCTTCCTCCTGCCCCAATTCAAAGGCCACATATTCTAAGACAACAGCAGGGACTGACTGGAACTTCTAAGCGAGGAGACTGCAGGGGATCTATGCGGGCCTCGCCCACACTGTTCAGGCATCAGCACTTCTCTGTGGGGCCCTGGGCCACGGCAGAAGTGGAAACAGCAAGGTTAGGGCCTTCCGCAGGCAGAAGCCATGGGGGAGTTTTGAGGCCACTGGGAAAAGGTTAATAGAGGCAGTTTCAAAGCTCTCAGGAAATGGCATCAGACAAGAGCTACTCTTCAGAGACAACAGGCCTGCCTCCATCCCGCTTACCTGGTTACAGGTGTTAATGTCCACCCCATTCCGCAGGTGATCCAAAGCTTTGTCCAAGTTACCTGATCTTGCAGCTCTCAGAAAGCTGGTAGCAGCATCGGCCTGTGAGGAAAAACAACAGGCATTGAGTGTCCTGGGTATATTAATGACTTCTCCGCCCCATTCAAGCCCCAGGCCCCTGCAGAAGCCCCTGCATCCTCTGATGTGGCACCCTGGTGCCCACAGTGACACCAGGTGTGCACAGGAGCCCTAGAGCCCATGGTTGGACTGTTCTTGGGGTGAACTGCCTTCACACCCAGGCCTCCTTTCCTGTGGTTTTTTTGTTTTTGTTTTTTTAAGAGAGTCTTACTCTGTCACCCAGGTTGCTGGAGTGCAGTGGCACAAGCACAGTTCACTGCAGCCTTGAATTCCTGGGCTCAAGAGATCCTCCCAAGTAGCTGGGACTACAGGTGTGCACCACCATGCCCAATTTTTTTTTTTTAAAACTTTTTTATAGAGACAGGGCATCACTATGTTGCTCAGGCTGGTCTCAAACTCCTGAGCTCAAGCGATCCTTCTACCTTGGTCTCCCAAAGTGTTGGGATTACAGGCCTGAGACACCGTGCCTGGTCCCCTTTTGGTATTTTTATAACCAAACGTTCTTGGTTTGGACTCAGGAAGAATCAGCCTTTAAGAGGGAGCCCATTCCAATGGCAAGCGCACAGCACAGCCTGGTGTCTCCTTGCTCTGAGGTTTCGGGGGCTCCACAGTCTTGCTGAAGAGTTTGCAATAACACAGAGGTCCCTGGCCCCAAGAGTCATGAATGCAGGCACCAAAGGAACCAAGCCTGGGCTCTTTGGAACTGTTTTGTGTTTTTGTTTTTATTTGCCTGTTTTTCCTTTTTAGAGATGGGGTCTCACTATGTTCCCCAGGCTGGTCTCGAACTCCTGGGCTTAAGCAATCCTCCTGTCCCAGCGTCTGAAAGTGCTGGGATTACCGGCATGAGCTACCATGCCTGGCCCTGTGTTTTTGTTTTTTAAGTAAACAGCACATAGCACTTAATATGTGTTAAGAACCATTATTAGCACTTTACATATACAGTCAAACCCATTTATTCAACCAACCGTGGATGGAAAATTTGCAGGAAAAGAAAATAAAAATAACAATACTAAAATAAAAAGGGATACTAACAGAAGGCCGGGTGTGGTGGCTCACGCCTGTAATGCCAGCACTTTGGGAGGCCGAAGCAGGTGGATCACGAGGTCAAGAGACCGAGACAATTCTGGCCACCATGGTGAAACCCCATCTCTACTAAAAATACAAAAATTAGCTGGGCGTGGTGATGTGCGCCTGTAGTCCCAGCTACTCAGGAGGCTGAGGCAGGAGAATCACTTGAACCTGGGAGGTGGAGGTTGCAGTGAGCCAAGATCGCGCCACTGCACTCCAGCCTGGTGACAAAACAAGACTCTGTCTCAAAAAAAAAAAAAAAAGTAATACAGAAAAGCAATGCTGTATAACAATTATTTACAAAACACTTACATTAGGTATTATAAGTAATCTAGAGATAATTTAAAGTATATATGAGGATGTGGGTAGGTTATATGCAAACACATTATCACTTTATATGAGGAACTTGAGGAATCTGTGGATTTTGGTATCTGCAGTGGGTTCTGGAACAAATCTCCCACGGATACCAAAGGATGACAATAATATATATTCACACACATGCACACGCACACATGTGCATTTTATCCTAATTTTAAATACCCAAGAGGTAAGTAGGATTGCAGAGTCCCATTTTACAGATGAGTGGGCTGAGGCACAGAGAGCAGAAGTGCCTCGTGCAGCATCCCACAGCAGGGAGGAGGCACAGCTGGGACTCAGATGCAGGCAGTGTGACTCCAAAATTCATGAGCTGAACCTCCCAGCTCTGCAGCCAGCTTGGTCTCCGCTTTAACACCGGGTGTCCCCCACCAGATTTATTGAATGAGAGTGAAGCCTTTCTGTTCCTTAGCTGGTGCTACGTTACCCACCCCATGCAGCTCAGACCCTGCCCCCAGGAACATCTGTTTGCTTTAAAGATGAGTGACAGCCAGAGAGGGTGAGAGCTGAGGACAAATAAAATAAAGTTTACTAATTGATATGGTTTGGCTGTGTTCCCACCTAAATCTCATCTTGAATTGTAGCTCCCATAATTCCCACATGTCCTGGGAGGGACCTGGTAGGAGGTACTTGAATCATGGGGGCTGGTTTTTCCCATGCTGTTCTCATGATAGTGAATAAGTCTCATGAGATCTGATAGTTTTATAAAGAAGAGATCCCCTGCACAAACTTTCTTGCCTGCTGCCATGTAAGACATGCCTTTGCTCTTCCCTCATCTTTTGCCATGATTGTGAGGCCTCCCCAGCCATGTGGAACTATCAGTCCATTAAACCTCTTTCCTTTATAAATTACCCAGTCTCAGGTACATCTTTATTAGCAGTGTGAGAACAGGCTAATACACTCACAAAGACAAATGTAATGATTAAAGTCCAGTCCTCAGGCATTGGAGCCGGTGGCCTAGACTCATAGCCACTCCACTGGGTCTAGCTGAGTGCCCTCGGGTACTTAGACATCCTCGGCTTCTATTTCCTTATCTGTAAGCTGGGGAGAGTAAAGCCTTTCTTGTCCCCTTTTCATGATGCTTAAAGGAAATAAATAGTGCTTGGTGCATAGTTGCATACAAGGCTGAGTTGAAGGCGTGAGAGTGGTCATATGACAAGCCACAAATGGGAGAAGCATGTGACGCCATTCCCACAGAGGACCCACAGTGGCTTCCTCTCCACCCAGGCACTTTGTCTCCTTCCTCTGCGTGCCCTCCTAAAAAAAAAAACATGCTGCAGTGGGCTGAATGGTGTCCCCCAAAAGATACATCCACACTCTCATCCTGGAAGCTGTGAAGGTGACCTTATTTGAAAAACAAGTCTTTGTAGATGTAATTAAGTCATGGATCTTGAGATGAGATCATCCTAGATTACCTTGGCTGGCCCTAAATTCAACGACAAATGTCCTTATAAAAGACAGAAAAGGAGAAGACACACACGCACACACGTACACATGCACACACACGGACATGCATGCACACACACAGATGAACATGCACACACAGATGCACACACACACAGATTTGCACACATACAGATGCATGCACACACACGCACACCAAGAGATGCACACATACACATACACACGCACAGACACACACACACATGCACACATACACGTGCACACAGAGACCCATGTGCACACACACACATGTGTGGACATACACATATACACATGTGCACACACATGCATGCACACACACAGAGGTGAAGCTATGTGAAGACAAAGCCAGAGACTGGAGTGTTTTTAGCCATGCACAAGGAAGCAAGGCACCTCTGGGAGGTGGAGGCTCCTGGAAGAGGACCCTGAAGCCCTGGAGGGAGTGTGACCCTGTGGAGGCCTTGATTTAGACCTCCAGCCTCCAGATGTTGAGAGAACACATCTCTGTAGTGTTAAGCCACTAAGTGTGTGGTGATTTGTTACAGCAGCCATGGGAAACTCATGCACACACTAGTGATGACCACCCTTGAACACCCTTGAACACAGAAGACTCCAAATCTACAGCCGAAGACCAAATAGAACTCTCATCCTCCTCCCCAAAGCAGCACTTCACGTCTTCACCATTGAAACAGGGAGTCCCCAGGGTGTCAGCAGTAGGGCTCTCCAGCCTTCCAGACAGGGGTCCTTCCTCCACATTCAGGTGCTGCCCCACACCACCCGCCAACCCCGCCCACAACCCCAGGCCTGCAGAAGTACCGCTTCCTCCCTCTGCCTCCCAGCCAACCTCCTCCATCCCTGCCTCACTGGTCTTCCCCAAATCCTGACTTCCTGCCAGCCCTTCCCAACCTCAGGTCCCACATGGGCCCTCTATGATGTAAGCTCAAGTTCAAGTACAAGCCCTGTGGCTGCCTGCTCATAAAGCACACTCATCTCGTTGTCCCCACGGCGGCAGGAGCCCCTTCTCACCTCCCTTGTCCTCTGTGACATTCCCATGCTCTGTCTACCTCCTGGCCTGCACATTCCTCCTCCCTGGGCCCTGAAGCTCTGTCTCCCTCTGGTTTGCTAATTCCAATCCTTCTTCTGTTCAAGGCCCCGATGGTGGCTACTTCCTGCATGAATGACACTATGCTTAGACACTCAGTATTTGCCATCTTTAAATCTAGAAACCACAAAACAGGAGCTTGGTTGTGTATTTTTTTTAATGCACTTAAAATATCTCTTTCTCTAGCTATTTAATTCAGGCAAGTCTTGTCTCCCCAGCCAAACTGTTTGCTTCTTGGGGCAGCGACCAAGTCTTCTATCTCTTTTGAATCCTCCAGAGCATTAAGTGTCTGCTAGGGCGAGGCCTCCCTTGACCTAAAGCACATGACATTCACATCCTAGGTTCCTCAGCAAGGCATCTGTGGGGCAGGAAATATTTCAGAAATGAAGATCAAACTGTTGGCTCTCTAGGCATGAGCTGGGTTTCCAGAGAAAACCCAGTCAAGGTTTAGTCTCTCAGATAAATGTCTATTTGTGCCTGCTGATTCAGAAAGTCTGTCTAGATTCAATTACTAGGAAAAACACTATATTATTCCCCAAGAATAAGAGTGTTAAAGAGACATTTCTCCCACCAATTAACTACCATTTATGGCACAATAATAGGATTCAGGCTGAAAACCTGAGAACGGGTGGATAAAAATAGACGCAATATCCGCTAATGACACTGTTTGACTGTTCAAAGCACCGAATCCAGGAAGCAAAGAAGAATATTTATGACAAACTGGCTGGGCGCGGTGGTTCCTGTAATCTCAGCACTTTGGGAGGCTGAGGTGGGTGGATCACTTGAGGCCAGGAGTTAGGCCTGGTCAACATGGTGAAACCCAATCTCTACTAAAAATACAAAAAGTAGCCGGGCGTGGTGGTGCGTGCCTGTAATCCCAGCTACTTGGGAGGGTGAGGCAGGAGAATCACTTGGACCTGGGAGGCAGAGTTTGCAGTGAGCTGAGATTGCGACACTGCACTCCAGCCTGGGCAACAGAGCGCAACTCTGTCTCAAA